GCAGACAAGAACGCCAAATCCTCCCCACCCTCTGCATCTCTCTACCTTCCCTCGGGCACAGGCCCCCTTGCCTCAGGACTGAGCAGCCGGGACAACTGACTGGCTCCACCCCGCTCAGAGCTGCCTCCTAGCCCACAGCCTTGGAATGGCCTTGCCTGCATCGAGCCTGAGGCTACTACCTGGCCCACCTCTGGCCCCTGAATGCCCACCTCTGCCTCCTTTCCACATGAAGAGGGTGAAACACAGAGAGGCGTAACACAGCCAGTTAGAGGTGGGGTACGACTCTGACACGCGGCCTGGGTCGTATAGATCAGATCCTCAACCAGAGGAATGGCTTCTTTCATGGCTATCATCCAGGACTCATCTCTGATTTTAACAGGCAAACTCCCTCACCTGTCGCCCCTACTACCTGGTCAGAGAACAGGGAAGGCTCTGGCCTCACCAAGTCCATCCCAAAATGGGTGTGCTCAAGAAGGAGACATCAAAACTGTTCACAGTGATCTTCCTTCTCTTCAGTTTTTCACAAGTATTTTAATATATATTTTATATACAGTACAGTATATATTATAGTAATATATTTTACAATAATTTTTTATTCTTGGGGGGCATGGTTGAAAGTCTAGCTACCACTGGCATAAATAATTGGGTTGTCCAGGTGGGCCTGTGTCTTTCCTGACGTGACCCCCCAGCGAAGGGGCTGTGGCTGCCCTGTCTTCCTTCCCACGGTTCCACACTTTCAGGAGGCAGGCAGATAATGTGGGCCCAGGGTAACATGGGAACCAACACCCAGCCACCTCTCCAGCCTCACCCAAAGCTGCTTCCTCCGGCAGGCCCTCCGTACCAGCCCAGCCAGTCACCGGGCCTGTTCCCTGACACACTCTGGCCATCCCCCCCTGTAGTGTCCTGCTCTAACAATCCCGCTTCAGACCTAGGCTCACCCTCACCTCTTCCAGGAAGCCTTCCCTGACCAGCCACCACCGTCACTGCTGATCCTCACTTCTTAGGATGTAATCTTAGCTGTCCAGCCTCCCCAGCCAGACCTCCCGAATCCCCCCAAGGCAGCAAACTTATCTTCTATCACTTCGTGGTTCCCCTCTACCCTCCAGCTAGCCCTAGTCTTAGCGTGTTTACTAATGACCTCTCAGCGGAGCCTGGTTCCTCACAGCCCTGCTCCCGTCTCTGGAATGGTCTCTGACGCGGAGGGCGCCCCCACCCAGGCCTACAGGGTGCCAGAGCCGGGACTCTCCTCCCACAGGTGGCAGAGCGCTGATCGCCTGGAGACGTTCGCCTGGCTGCCACCCGCCAGTGTGTGTCCCCTCAGCAGCACAACTGCTCCTCCTCCTGTCACCCCTTGGGTGGGGAGCTCAGCGATGAACTGGGCATGTGAGTGACAAAAAGCCACAGAGAACAGAATGAATCTACCACCTCCAGACAGGTCCTGACCGTCCCCAGAGGGCCAGTCCAGAAGGGTGTTGGCAGGACTCAGCCCTGATGGGACATTGAGCTGAGTGCAAGCTCCTTCCAGAAGCTCCCATGTCAGCACTCCCCGACAGGGGCAGGGGGGTGAGGGGCCAGGCAACACCAGCCGGGGCAAGCAGCACAGGGCTGGAGAGGTGCTGGCAGCAAGGAAGAGCGAGGTCTGCACCCCGGGCTCCTCAGCCAGCTGCTGGGAGCTGACCCTGACTAGACGTCAAGCCAAGGGGGACCCTGGTTTTCTCCTGAGTTCTAGTCCTCCAGCTGACCTGTGGACTGGACGGAGTTGCCCCCAGGCAGGGGAGGCACGGGGCAGGGGAGCACTGTGCCGGGAGGTCTGCTGAATAAATAGGAGTCCTCCAGGCTGAGGAGCTCTCTCGCCTCACTCTTGCCTCAGCGGTGCCTCTGTCCAGGCACTGCTCGCATTCTGGGAGACGCCCAGCTCGTGCAGAGGCAGGGCGAGAGCACAGTGTCACAAGTCCTTCGTGGACCTCCATTAAAAGTGCAGTCACTGCTTAGGAAGCATAGACGGCTCGTGTCCTTCTGGACGGGCCTGCAGGGCTGAGGGGCATCAGGGAGCAGACAGCTGCTCCACACCCACCGGGCAGGCCTCTCACCCTCTCCTCTCCACAGCTGCCGGTGTTGGCAGTACGTCTCAGCAGAAGAGCTCTGTGATGCCCGGTGTCTGGCCAGGGCCCCCCAGCTCTCCCTGGCCTGGGGCTCCAACAGAGAGCTGATCCTGAGTGTGAAGGGCGAGGCCGGAGACAGCATCCAGAGGGTGAGCCCAGCTAGGGAAGGGCTGGGATAGAAGGGCAGCCTCTGCCCAATGGGGACAAGAGAGAGAGCCACCTGGGCACCTGTGACTGCAGAAAAACCAGGCACCAAGTCTAAAGACACCAGGTGGTGGAAGAGAAAGTCCATCTGATAACCAGTCTTCCCTGCCTCATCTGTTGCTATCCACGTGAATTTCCATTCTGCAAGCTGGAGGGAAGGGCAGAAGGAGATATTTCTTAGGTCAATGTCAACCATTCAGTCTGAATGCCAGAGGGATCTGAGAAAACATCAGCTTCACTTTACAGAAGTGTGAAGTGAGGCCCAGCGATGTGAAACCACTCACCATGGTCAGAGAATTGGTGTAAACCCTGCCAGAGCCAAGCCTGCGCCTCTGGTCCCAGCCTGGACCTCTGGCCACAGGGCAGGTCCGTCTCTTGCCCACCATACTGTTGGCCGTGGCTGTCTTCAGGTCCCCGATGCTTCATCGAGGTGGGAGGGGCAGAGGACCAGGGCCTGGACACAAGTAGGGCCAGCCCTGGATATTTGTCTGCCAGAAGGTTCTGGGTGGCTCTGTCTGCTTGTCACTGAAAGGTAGGGAGGATCATCTGGCATGGGAATGGACAGCAGATTTGGGGTGATAGGGACATGTTTCTAAGTTGTTCCATAAGTAGGACATTTGCAGGCAGATAGAAACAAGGGGCAAACAGTGGCTCAGTACAGGGACTGAGTTAAGTCAGGGGTGTTTTCTGAAGATGGGGAGGGACCCAGGCACAGGTGGCCACCCGGGCAAGTTTCAGTGAGGACGGAGGCTGACAGTGGACATCGCTGAGCCCCCTCACCAGGGGCTGTGCCCAAAGGCTCAGTCTGGTCTCTGCGCCCCCACCTCTGGGAGCCTCGTTGCCCCTCCTCCTCTCCCCGGGCGTATGATGCTGTGATGCGTGTTCTCAGGAAGTAGCCAGCGCTCTGGGCCCAGACCCATCCTTCCAAGGGAGCGCCAGGGTCCATCTGGTCCAGTGTGGCCCCCACGGCATCTTCGCCCTTGTCATCTCCAGCATGGCCATGCCTGGCTCCCTCCTTGGTAAGCACGGGGTACCAAGCCCAGGCTCTCCCAGAGAAAGTGGGTGGAGTGAGGGCGTGGCTGCTTTCCTCCTGGAAGGGGAAGGCGGCCGCACTGCGAGGCGCAACTGCAGCCCCTAGAAATCTCTCAGCTCTGTCCCAGGGTTCAGGAGGCCAGGGTCTGGCAGGGACACAGAAGGCCAGGTAGGAAGACAGTCTTTGGGGAGGCAAGGGCCCCGGAAGGGCTGGAACTGCTCTTAAAAGGGAATTGAGACAGGGTGGGACCAACAGGCGGTGTGTGTGCCTCCCCAGACAGGCTAGGTCCTTCAGCTTTCCCCCTGCAAACTCTTCCAGGACCACCTGTGTCCAGCTCCCGGCTGCAAAGGCGTCGCTGGACTGCAGGCCCGGCATACCCTGTTCCCCAGGCCCCCAGCATCCCTCCCCACATTCCAAACCCAGTGATCTGCTTGATAGAAGAGGACGTGATTCTTTTCCAGCTTCAGATTCACCCTGACAGTGAGTCTGCCCCTCGGCCCCGCCCTCCCGCTCTGGCTCCCTCATCCCTCCCTGTCCGTCTGCCCGGTGACATCACGTACATACCGTGCCTTCAAAGTAGCGGGGCACAGGCCGGTGCTGTCCCCTGCTCTCAGCCTGTTCGGTCACTTCCCTGGGGGCCTTCATTCCATATCTTGAGCAGATGTTTCAGCTCCAGCATTCTGAGACTCCTGCAGCCCGTGGAGGTGTCAGACTTCTGTGCCTTGGGGGGAATGGATTTTGAGGAGAAAAAACATGGGGCAGAGAGGTATGGAATAGAAACTAAATATAAATGTAACCTGTGTGGCTGTCTTATAACCATGACAGATTAGTACAGAGAATGCCCTGTACGGAACAACACACTGAAGGCTCCAGATCGAGGTCCTCCCTTTGGGGAGGATGAGGCTTCAGTCTCTGGCATTTGGAATGTAGGCAGCATCCTTGCTTTTGGCCAGATCGCTGGGTGTGTGGCACAGTCCGTGCTTTTCAGATTTACACAGAATGGCCACTTGGCCCAGGTAGAAGTCAATGAAGTGTTTCGTTCCACGTGTCACGTAACCACTGATGTACCTCCCCGAGACGCGTGCCAAGGCAATGAGTATCAAAGAGGGGAACACACCCTGGAAAGCGAGCTCCACACTGGACATGTGTGCCCTGGTTTCTAGGCCCAGCTCTTCCACAAACCGCTGGGAACTGGGGCAACCTCCACCCTCTCTTCACCTTGATATTTACCTCTGCCAGTGAACACAGTTGCGTTCCCCCTTCTCCCCCCTGTGAGGGAGGTAAGATCAGAGCCCCATCATGCGGGGCTGGGGGGCTCAGGAAGAAGAACTGACACCTGCACACAGGTAAGGCCTCCTTGTGCAGCAGGAACAACCAGGTGGCGCCTGCCTGTATGGCAGCCCCATCCACCTCCTTAGCTGCTCATTCTCTCAGCCATCCCATAGCATGTATTGAGTACCTGCTGCATGCCCATACTGTGCTGCCTTCCAGGGGTACACAGTTGAACACGTCCCTGCTCTGAGAGTCCCAGGGCATCAGGCTGGCCTCACCCACAGAGGGGCGTCAGGCCTGGTGCCCCCTGCTCAGAGTGTGCCCTCTCTGTGGGCAGAGGGAAGAAGAGTGATGCCTGGCAGCATGATTACTAAGGGCACGTTACGTACATGAGAGGGGAACTGTGTCTCAGCACTCACTCTTGTGAGCACAGGATGCTGAGCTCTCCGGATGTGGGCTGCCCCAGGCTGGGGCTGGGGAGGCCTCTGGGACCCAGCCCAGCCCCGGCTCGCTCCCCAGATCGCCCAGCCAGTCACTACCGCGTGTACCAGAAGCAGCACCGGTTCAACAGCAACCCCCACTGGGACTTCGGGGCCTTCAGGAGGCTCGGCCACCTAGTGCGAGAGACTCAGGTCAACTTCTCCAGGTAATGCAGCTGGGCTGCTGGGGGACTCGAGGGGCCATGGGGCCACGCACTTGGTCACAGCCTCCTCCTCCATGGCCAATAGGAAGACTCAGGAGAGGAGGGGAGGCTGCTGACCATGTGGGAGATGAGGCCAGAAGAGACCACAGGCAGGCGAGGCCTCCTGAGGGCACACGTTGGGGTGGGGGGGGGGGGGGGGGGCGGGGTCACAGGGAGCTTCCCTGGACCACATTATTCATGTGTGTTGTGGGGGAGGCCCTGCCACGGCTCAACGTCACCCAGACTCAGCCTGCTGAGAGCAGCCCACCGAGGCTGACTCTCTGTATTCTGGCCCTTCACCCCCAGGTTTGTCCACCAGTTCTTAGATCCGGGCACATACGTGTTTCGAGACAATGCACTTCCCGAGAGCATTGTGGTGGTGTCGGTGAAAGAGAAGGGGATAGCCTGTGGCCCTGGCCTGTCCTCTGTGCAGCCCTGCTCCCCGTACCAGCTCTCCAGGCATGGCATCGTCAGGCACAGGCTGCCAACTCTGGGCCCAGACTGGGCAGTGATCACAGGTACTGACCCCAGACCAGAGTAGCCAGGACCTGGGGTTGGTGCCAGGAGTGTGGCACAGCAGAACCCCCAGCCCCATCTGTGACTCTGGGTACAGCCCCAAAGACTTCAGGTGTGCACAAGGACAAGCTTGCCCTTGAACTGGGGCTTCATTCGCCAGACAAAGAAAACTGAATTTCCTCCACTAGGGTCTCCTTTCTCACCCTCCCTTCCCCTCCACCTCAGTCCTGGGAGCTTCCCTGGGGAGTGAGTCCCCACAAGCGGTGAGTGAGTCGCACCGTAGAGTACCAGGATCGCAGGGGTGCCTCCTCTAACCTCCTCTCTGGGTTTTCTCATCTTGTTTCCTTCTTGTCTTCATGAGTCAGCAGTCTGCACTGAGCTCTCCAGCTGAGCCCAGAGCATGGGGCATTCATGGCCCCCACCCAGGTGGGACAGAGAACACTGCCCTGCAGGGGCCAGGTCCTAAGCCACCTGGGCACAGGGCAGCCAGCAAGCCACACGAAGCACAGGGCAGTGCTGGGACGTGCCAGGAAGGCCAGCAGCAATGTCCTGGGAGGGGTCTTACATGGTGGGGTGTGGGGAGAGGAGCATTCCCAGGAGGACACCTGACATCACAAAGCCCCAGAGGCAGGAATGAGGTTGATCTACAGGGAGCTATGAGGAGTTAAAGCCTGAAGGCAGCAAGACCGAGAGACCAGGGCCAAGGGGCAAATGCGAAACGCTGCTCTGGGGCGGTGGGGGGGGGGGGGGGGGCGGGCCCGAGCAGCCTGGGGAGGTTCTGAGTGGTCATCATGTGGCCCTTCCGCTCTCCCCGCAACTTTCAGGGGTGCTGCTGGCTGTTGGCTTGGCAACTGCGCTGCTGACAGGCCTGGGCCTTGTGCTGAGCCCCCCACTGGCCCAGACCTGCCCCGTCAGAGCTTGGAGACTCCGGGAGAGGGGCCTCAGGGAGCCTCACGTGCCTGCTGACTGCGTGCGTCTCCGGGACAGGTGAGTCCCTTTCTGCTCCTCACACATTTCCCAGCCCTGCCCCAGCCTAGGGACGGCCACTGCCCACTCTGGCCCTGCCTACACGCCTGAGCCTAGCACTGCCCTGTGGACTCAGGAAGGAATGCCCTCCTGAGCTGGCCTGTGGCGTTTGTCACCGGCTCCCCGGGTCCAAGAGAGCCCTGCGCCAGCCGTGTGTGTCTGTGCACTGAGGCTGGGGCTTCCTTCCAGCCTTACCGTCCGTGAAGACCTCGGTCCTCAGGGCTCTGGGGAAGGAGCCAGCTGCAGGCAGGGAGCCGTTCCCCGGGACACAGGTACCACGCCGGTGTGCAGTGAGTCGTCCCTCTCCCCGTCCCCACTCAGCCTGCCCTCCACACCCCCTGCACCCCAGCCACACACTCTGGGGAGCATCTCATGTTTGTGCAGCACTGACAGTTTGCAGGACACTTCATGCTGTCCTTTGATCCTCACGACAGAGCCTAGAAGTGAGTGTTTTCAGGTGTTGTCCTGTCCCCATGTTATAGACAGAGAGAATGAGGCTCAGGGAGACATGAGTGACTTGCCCAAGGTCCCCAGGTGGCAAGCGCTGGAGAGAGGGTGCCACTGGGTTTGAGGCGAGAGCTCTCTGGTCCTCCCTGTGCTGGTCAGGAGTTCCTGGGGCCCCAGGGCAATTCTCCAGCTGGTGGCTACCTTGCCCTAGCTCACCGCAGGGGCAGAAGCAAGGACCGTTCTCCAGGCTCCCTTTACACAATCACTCACCCGTGCCTGTCAGTTCCTCTTCACACCTGGAGAACTGGGTGTTGCCTTGGTGCTCAGGAGGACCTCGGGGACCCAACCCTCCCCCTGTGGCCCCGGCCCCCAGCCCCGACTGTGAGCAGGGAGTACGTGCAGAGGGGCATGGAGGGAGGCTCCATGGAAGTGGGCCCTTCACCTGCTTGGGACAGCATCAGACAATAGGACAGAGGCCCTAAGTCCTCACTGACCTGGGTTCACACAGCTTGAAGGTCAACTCCGCTGGTTCTTAACTGCAGAGTTGCAGGGACCACAGGAAGTGGGCTGAACGTGCAAGGGCCAGGGAGGGGGCGCAGAGAAATGAGTGGTTACAAGCACGATCATGGGATCAGACCAGTACTGGAGTCTTGCTAGCTGTGTGAACCTGAACACAGGCCTCCCCATGCCACACACCCCCTTACACACACACATGCACACACATGCACATGCCACACACATGCATATACACGCCCACACGTGCATATACATCATACACATGCACAGAAGCATGCACAATCGTGCCAGAACACATACACACTGTCCAGGGCTGGGCTGGCTCTGTGCTGTCCTGACTATGCCTTTGCATGGGGCTTAGAGGCTGGTCATCCCTCTGCTGGCGACTGTTCTGGACAGGGCCGACACCAAGAACTAACAAGCCAGGACAAGTCAGCCCCTCTCACCCCATGGCGCCCTCGTGGGTGATCTACAGGGTGGGCTGTGCTGAGTGTGGACAGTGTGGACATAGTGAGGGCTGCTAGAGCCAGAGACTGCCCCTGGCACTGTAACCGTTAAATGCAGCCTCTATTCAGGCCCAGCACAGGGCCGCGGCTCACTGCTGAGAGCTCCCATGGGAGGAGGGGGCCCAGCGGGTCTGACCTGGGGTGCCAGGACAGGGTTCCTTTGGTCGGAGGACTGGTCCCTGAGGGGAGGGTGAAGTGCCCCTTTGCTGTGGGGCGTATGACAGGGCAGATGGAGAGGGGCATCTCGATGGAGTGGGAGGACCCAGTCCTGTCTTCTGAAGATCTGCACTCCCACCCTCGTCCCACCTGACCAGCTGGTAGCTCAGGGGACAGGTCCTAAGCTGGCCACAGAGAGAGAGGATGGAAAGCAGGCTCCATCCAGGCCGGGCGGGTGTTGCTCTCAGAGTGAGAGCGGCCCCGTCGCATCGCCGGCATGGATGGGACTTCCCCTTCTCCCCACATGCACCCCCAGGCCTGGGACAGGGCGGCCTAGGGACTGGCAGCGGACGCTCACTCAGGTTCACATCCACGTTCCTGCAGGTGCCACCCAGCTGAGCCCCAGGCCAGCATGGGGCCTCACCCCACGTTCCTTCTTCTGCCTTCAAGACCAAGCTCCACACTCCACAGGGGAGAGGCAGCTGCACAGGGGCCTCCGTCCCCCAGACATGTCCTTGTAGCAGAGCAGAGGGCGTTTGAGGGAGAAGGAGGTCAAAGGGTTAAGGCTCTTCGCGGAGGGACATTCCTGGGGATGAGAGAGAAGCCCACTCGGGCCCAGAGACTTGAGCAGGCAGCGGCCTCCATGGAGGGGCCCTGATTCGCTCTCCTGGAGGTGGCCTGGGTCACACACCGCAGCCTGAAGGCCAGAGGAGGCCCCTTAGCCAGAGAAGCACGTGGTGAGCATCTGCCGTCTGCGGAGCGTGCGCAGGGCACTGTGGGACTCCGAGGAGAAGCTCTTCAGCCCGGCTGGAGAAGAGTTCACAGAGCAGGGGGCCAGCTGGGATGAGACAGGGGAGCACAGGACAGTTGTGGGAATGTGGGGACAGTGAGATGAGTTCAGGTGGACGGAAGGGGTGGAGGTCACGCAGTCAGACACAGCCTGGAGGACCCAGCAAACAGCTCCCCGGGTGGTTGGCAGGTCGTCCAGGACAGGGAGATCCACCCTCAGCAGAGCTCTGGGGTGACGCCAGGCCCAGACAGACAGGCTGCAGGTCCTTGTCAGTCACACCCACACCACAGAAGGGGCTCTCTGCTGCCCCTGAGGTCCTCTCTCCTCCCCATGCTCCCGTCAAAACTGACCTCCGCCTTTCTTCACCAGAGCCGACGCTCCTCCCAGCATCTCTGCCCTCCTCGGCCCCTGATCCTGCTGCAGAGCTCTGAGGGGAGGAGGGAAGTGGCTGCGCCTGCACCCCTGGGCCCAGTGCCCTGCTCCTGGCTCCTGTTCATCTCAGTCTCACTCCAAGGCCTCTTCCTGCAGGGGAGCCACACCCTGTGAACACCCTAGAGGACTTCAGCGTCCGCACACTCTATGACAAGCTTGAGGACCAGAGCCTGCACTTGGTGGCCCAGCTGAGCAAGCACAGGAGCGACGCACTGGCCTTCTACAGGGGCGCCAGCCAGCAACTCCAGGGGCTCAAGTTCAGCCCCAATTCCCAGACAACCAAGCCACTATCATCCCCACTGCCCTGGGGAACAGCCACTCAGCCCCATCTGGAAATTGCCTGAGCCAAGAAGGACACTCATAATGCAGCCCTGGTTCTTCCAGGACTTTCTGCAGGGCCTCAGCATGACCGAGCGGCAAGATATGGGCAGAGGTGGAGACCTGGAGATGGGAGCCAAAGCCACTGCCAGGACAGACACTGGGCAGAGAGAGGAATGGTGCAGTGGTCACACTGCGGCTTCTCCAAGGGTGCGCTGGCAGCATCCTCTAGGTGAGAGGCAGGGCCTCGGGGTGGGGCTGTGACACTAGCTGGAAAGTCACAATATTAACTCTAACTTTGTAGAGCGCCTGACTGTGCATCTCACATTTACCATCTCGCCTGGTGTTCAGCACTCCTGTGCAGTAACTGACAGCATCGACCCTGATCACAGAAGACTGTTCTGGGCCCAGGGAGGGGCGTGATTTGCAAGGGAGGGGAGACTCCGATGCCTCATGTCAGAGTGAGGTCTGGCCCAGCTCTCCTGCTGCCATGCCCACCGCCGTGCTCTAGGGCTGGCCTTGTGCAGGGCGCCAGGGTGACAGGGGCCCAAAGGCTCTTGGCAGTCTCCCTAGTTTATACTTTAGCTTTGTTTTTCTAAATGGCAAAAGTCATACACACCCCTTACAGTTCCATTAGTGCAGAAAGTATATAAATGGGAAGCTGGAATCCACTTGCCCTGGCAGCCCGGCAGCCCCACAGGTCTGTAAGCGAATATTCTGAACGTTCATTTGCTCTTTTGTGAACCCCATGGAAGGCCCCTCCCACAACAGCTGATTCTCTGAAATGCTCCTGCCCCCAGGTGACTCTAGAGCTTTTCCAGGTTGTCGAGGCTTCTTCCTGCAGGACGTGGGGGTTGAGCTTCACTGCAGGGAAGCATGTGTTCAGTGCCCACTGAGGCTCCCAGAGTGTGGCAGGACGGGGATGGTGTGGAGGGACATCCCTGGCCGTCTGCATGCTCTCTGGCTTCAGCCAAACTCAGAGATTACAGAGCCCAAAACCAGGCATCACCCTGGGCAGTTCTGGCGGACGACAGCTGTGGGTGTGCAGTCCCCCAGCTACCCCTAAATGGCCCTCACGTCCACATGTTTGGGCCACTGAACAAAGCACAGCTCCGACTGCCATGGAGGGTGACCCTGCCTTCATGTTGTAAGTGGTCTGAGTCCGTCACCCCCCTTTGCTTCTGGCCCCTCTCCCACCCTGTGAGTGCCCAGCAGGGGCCAGCCTGGGGAGGGAAGGGCGTCCGCAGCTGCTGTGTGCAAGGCCGTGTCATAGTCCCCGCAGGCAGGGAAGTCCAGGACTTAGGGCTCTGTGGTCCCCTCACCCAGCAACTCTGACCAGCCAGTCCCACCCTCAGCTCCCACTGGCAGCGGCTGCACACTGCCGGAGACTCTGCAAGCCCCTCCTGTGCTCTGAGACAGGGGGAGCGTTCGTGCCTCCCTGGCCAGGATCTGTGGGCGCTGGAGGAGACTGTTCCCTTCTAGGAACAAACAGCCGTGCGCTCAGCAAGGACTCCCCAGCCCCATAGCGTGATCCGTGAAGGCCTAACCTCAAGGCAGGAAAATCCAAGGTCGTTGCCGCAGGTCATCCATGTTTGAATCCACACCTCAGCATAAAAACAGCTGATCTTCCGTCTCCTGGAGCAGCTTGTCAGACAGCAGATTGTTGGCTTCTTAGAAACCAGTGGGTTGCAACTAGCATTAAAAAAATAAACTAGAAAGGAATAAAATTGAAACTGTTGGAAGTAACACATGTATAAAGCTAGTCTTGCTTCCCGCAGCTCTCCTTGCTGTTTACACACACACACAGGAAGGTAGGAGCGATGAAGTCTTAGTGGGTTTGGTTCAGAAGTTTGGAAGCCACTGTCTGGGAGGAAGGCTAATGGTAGGAGAGCCTGCCCCTCGGTTCTGTGCACAGCGCCCTGGGGCTCTTGGGGGCTCTGAGACCCCAGATTCGGAGGGCGCTGTCCTCTGCAGCCCCGCGCTGTTGTAAACTCTGGGCAACCGTTACCTCATTTAACCCACTCAGTTGTCACGGGAAACCTCTGTGTGATATTGTCATCATCTCCATTTTATAAAGGAGGGCACTACGACCTAATGAGGCTAAAGTTCCCACCCAAAGTCACACAGAGAGTGACGGAGCCAGTCCTGATCTCTGCTCCATCCCTGACGCGCCCATATGCCCCTAGCTAAAGGGCATAAAGGAACTCAGCTCACTAGCCCAAGGGCCCGTCACTCACCACCAGGCTCCAGTTCCCGGAGCCCGGGAACAGTCCTTCCCACACAGCTCCCTGGCCCTTTTGGGGAGGCAGGCTGGCCAGCCCGGGCTGGGGTCTCATCCCTTGTTCCTCAGTGTAGATCACTCTCCACACAGGGGTGTTTGGGGCTGAGGTCCAGGCACGTGTGTCACTTTTTGCATGAGTGCAGTCCTGGAATAAGGGGGCCATCTGTCCTCCTCAGCCTTCCAGATCCCAGCCCCAGGGAAGAAGAGTCTGGGAACAGGTCAGACAGATGCCAGAGGCCCTCCCTGGTTTGTGTGTATGTGATGAATGTGCATGTGTGCATGTGTGTGAGTGTGGTGTGTGCACGTGCCTATGTGTGCATGTATGTGGTATGTTTGTGTGTGTGGTGTGCATGTTTGTGTGTGGCCTGTGGAACCCTGGAGACCAAGCCATGATGCCAAGAACCTTCCTTGATCTTCTCTCCAAACCATTCCCCCTTCCTAAATTTCTCGGCCATACACTTCTAGGCTGGGACATGTGGCCAAGTGATCATGAGTAAGAGAAGGACAAAGAAAGCTGCTTTCCTCTGAAATTCACCTGAGACTAAGCTGTAAACCTCTGTGTCCTGAAGACCCTCTCCATGGGCGCAGAGGGAGCTGGGTGTGGAGGGCTGAGTGAAGCCTACTCCATTCCCAGCTACTGCTAACTAAAGCCAACGATTTCAACTTTTTCTTTGTGGGGGGCACTTTTTTCCAAAAAAGTTATGTGATGAAGTTTTGGCAAATTAAAAAGAAAAAAGCAGTTAATCAACACTTTGGCAAAATTATCCTACAACCCAGAAAACTCTCTCTGGGTGGGTGTTCCAGGAAGTGTCACTGCGCAGCCAGGGGAGACCGTGCCGAGCCACGGCGCTGCCCAGGCCGGGGTGTCGTGGGTGGCCTAGGAGACATGCAAGCAGAACACAGCACTTAGAAGCATAGAGCAGTCACAGGTAGCAGATGAGAAGCATAACTAAAAGATGGGTAGATCTGTAAACATGTCTGTGCTTAAAAAAACTAAGAAACAGAGTGAGATGTGTAGGAAGGGAAGAGACCCTGTATAAAAATGGAACCACTCATACACAGAACACCATGAAGGGTTCGTCATGGTTCATTCCACATACACGTAGCACACTGGAGCGACTGCCTGAAGGAAAGAGAGTGATGGAAGTGGGGTCTGGGATGAGAGAGAAAAATAAAGAGGCGAGAGGCACACACAACCACACAAGAGCCTCCGTAAACAGGGACGAGTGAAGTCAGTGTTAGGCGGGGCATCTGTGGTCAGACAGGATGATGTGTCTGAGGTCCTTCTCCTTGTCCTTCCCCAGGCGGCACCCCCAGCATGTCTCCACTGGGCTTTCAGTCGAAGCTCGACAGAATGATTGCGGCCCTGGCATCTGCACTTTCTCACGCATGTGGGCAACCAGCCAGGGCCAGCAGAAAGGTGACAGATTCCCCAAGGGCCTGTGTGTACAGAACAACTACCCTGTCAGCCTGACCCCATGGAGATTCAGTAGACATACACAAGCGTGCACACACACACACACTCACATGCATGTACACACTATACACAACCACACACATGCACAATTACATTCACACTTGCAATGCACCACATACTCAGGCCATATATTCACACTCCACATGTGCAAACACATGCACTCACACACAGGTACATGACCACACACATGCACACATTCCCACTCTTACAGACTACACACATTCACATGTGCACATACATCACACACTCACACATGACATACACATACACACATTACACCACACACTCACATTCACTCGGGCCTCACACCCTGCAGGTGGCCCTGCACTCTGGCCTGAAACCCAGGAGCGCGACCTGTGCTCATAGGTTCACCCCTGGCTTCAGCTCCGGATCTCCTCCGAGACGGTTGTCTGAGACAATCTTCCCAGCCTGCTAGCTGATCTGGCCGCTCACACAGAGCCTGGGAGGGAAGCACAGAGTGTCACAGGGAAGGAGGGTGCAGAGGGCCTCTGTCAAGGAGTACCCACACAGTGCACTCACAGCACAATAGGGCAGCATCTGTGGTGGCACGTGTCCTCGAGGGCCTAGAGGCAGTAAAAAGGGAAACCACAAGCCCTTAGCGGGCACTTGGGACCCCCAGGAGTGTCAGGCCGTCTGTGGCCGGGCCACACTGAGACATGCAATCGCAAGCTCAGATCAGCGCACGTGGCTGTGTTGATGAGCAGCGCTGCCCTCATTCATCACTGTGCTCTTCTGGGCCCAGAGCCGAAGAAAACTTACAGGACTGTCCATTCTTCCTAGGCCTCCGCTCAGGGGGGTGAACAGCCTCTGCCCTCCTGTCAACAAGACCCTCAACTGGTGAGTGACACCCTCCTGAAATCCCGGCCTCAGCCGTCGGATGAGGAGCATCAAAGTGCAAGGTGGGGGCTGACAGTGGCACCAAGGTCCCCGCAGCCGTGTTCTTAGGGGTGGCCCTTAGCTCCCTGGCACTGAGAATCTTAGTTTCATTCATAACCAGAAACTGATTTAAAGCCTTAACCCGCTCAACTCCAGTGACAAGTGTCCGGGGCTCCCTGCCCACGGTAACCACCACTTTGTCTGCCGAGGGGTTCGCTGACGTGAGTGACTTGTCAGAACTCAGGTCATTTATTCGGGTTGTTCCCATCATGGGAGTGAGACTGCATTCACTCTGGCTGACCCACCCCTCCTTGTACCACTCCCTCCTCTGGTGCACATCTCTTCTGGGGAAGCTGTGTGGGCTCTGTTCTTCCTCCGAGCTGACCCCGAGGCTAGTGGGGGCTTGTGTTGGCTGCATCTCTATCCATGTGTTTAGATGCACAGTCTGCTCTCCCCTGCATCCTCTTTTAACAACAATGAGGTAACAGTGGCTGCCAACAACGGCTGCCGGCTGTATTTACTGCTGCTGAGATGAGCACTTTATCTGCTTTCTATTTTAACTCTCACAACCGCCCCATGAAGTAGACACCGCCATTGCTAACTGCATTGAAAAGATGAGGAAACGGGCTCAGGGGTGAAGTTAAGGACGGAGCGGGGGTTCCAGCCCAGGAGGTCTGGCTCTCAGATCCCACCCTCACTGCTTCTTTGCGCTGACCTCCCCTCTAATCCCTCAACCAAAGCCTCGGACAACCCTTTCTCCCAGAAACATCTCTATTGATTTTCTTTTTGAAGGCACCTAGGGAGCTTATACAAACAATTAAAGTCTCCTGCAGGCCAGGGGAGAGAAATCTAGACTCTCCTGCTGAAGTCCCAGGGCTTGAGGGCCCTGGAGGATCAGGGACTCCAGAAAGAAGGGTCAGGCAAGGAAAGGCAAGTTCAGGATCCTGAGACCTGGACTCCAGACTGGTTCTGCCCTGAACGCCGTGGATCTTGAGCAAACCCTTTCCCACCAGCTCCACAAGCTACAGCGTGAGGATACTGTCACTCAGCAGATGTTTATCGCTGTCTCTGATGCAGGGCTGGAGGCGTCAGGAAGAACAAATAATTCTAGTAAAAGGTTCTGGAGGTTTAAAGAAGTCTGCAAGGATCAAGAAAAGCTTTGTGACAGTCGTACAGTTTAAGACAGGCTGTACAGCAAGGTTGGGGCCAGTGGTGTGGGGGAAGGATGTTCCTGGAGGGGCGGTGATGATGAGGACGTGGAGGTGACACAGCCCAGGTCTGGCTCATGGACTGAGGCCATTCCAGAGGCCCAAAAGCTCCCTCTCATTTCAAGGTGTGGACACTAAGATTAAGATGTAGAACTGAGTTGCCCAAAGTGTCTCCGGAGAGTACAGCAATGTGTAAGGGTGCCTCTCCTCCTCTTATTCCAGCCCCCAGCAGGCCCCAAGACCTGGACGGCTCCGTCAGGGTGATGCCACAGGAGGGGACACTGAGAGCCCAGGTTCCGGACACAGGCACGGAGCCTTTCCTGAGCTGCAGGTAGGAGCCCAGCTCTGTGACCCAAGTCCTCTCCACATCAGGGGGCGCCTGGCCCACCGCGTCCTCCAGCCCCTCACCCCACATGGGTTTGGCTCAGTCCAGCTGTCCCATCTCCTACCTGCTTGTTACCTACGCACCGTAGGCCACTCTGGGAGACAGAAAGCAAGTATAACATTGAGAAAAGTGACTGGGAAGAGATTTTGTGGAGAAAGAAATTAGGATTGGAGACCACTGGTCAAGAAATCACTCGTTCCGTCAACAAGTGTTCATTGACTGTTAGAATACTCACAAGGGCTGGCGTGGAGCCTGTGCAGGTTTAAAAGAATTTTCACAACAATGGGAAAAATCCCAAAGGACAGCAACAATAGATATGATCACATAATAATGTAAAACGGGATTCTCTAGGTCAAAAATTGACCATTAATAGATACTTTTACTCTATTAGAAAAATATGTAAATGGTCCCACGAAAAGGAAATACAAAGAAGTAAAATTATAAGAAAAATGTTGACAGAATCTGAAAAACGTTCACTACACTAGATGCCTTTTTTAATCTACCTAAAATGTTTCACAGAGTCCTCAGTGCTTGTGAGGATTAAAGAGATGGACATCCCCCCATGCAGCTGGTGGAAGGGCAAAAAGTTAAAACCTTTCTGGAAAGCAATCTGGCAATTTGTATCAAAAGCCTCTAAAATATTCCTTCCGTTTGACTCAGTATCTCCAGTTCTAAGAAGCTCTCTCAGGGAAATAATTTTTTTTTCTCAAAGATTGTCATCTGAGCTAACATCTGTTGCCAATTTTTTCTTTTTTTTCTTCTTCTTCCCAAAGCCCCCTCAGGACATAGTTGTATATTCTAGTTGTAGGTCCTTCTGGCTGTGCTATTTGGGATGCCGCCGCAGCATGGCCTCATGAGCAGTGCCATGTCTGCACCCAGGATCTGAACTCGTGAAACCCTGGGTTGCTGAAGCGGAGCACGCAAACTTAACCACTCGGCCACGGGGCCGGCCCCATGGAAATAATTTTTAAATGCAAGCAAACATGAAGAAACATATTAATTGCAATTTTTTGTAATATAAAAATAAATGGAGCTGACCTAAACTTCCAATAATATAAGAGTTATCTGAATTATGGTAGAGCCCTATCACGAAATATTAATGCTTCTACTAAAAATGATGGTATAGAGAAGTTTTAATGTCTTTAAAGTAAAAGATGAGGACAGAGAATTGCATATATGGCAGAGTTTCATATGTATCTGCGTATCTTAAAAGGAGAGAAAAGAACAGCAGAGAAAGAGAGGGCCTTGGAGGCGGAGCGAGCCCAGACAAGGGAGGGAGAAAGACTGCAGTGTGAGAGCGAGGACTGGCAGATGGGTTAGCCTGTGCGGCAGGACCAACCACGCAAAACCTCAGCAGTCCACAAGAGTAAGTGTCAGCCTCAGCTGATCGGTCCAGCTCGCCCGGCAGCTACAGTTCCAGATCCCAGCAGGGTGTGTGCGTTTGGCAGGGCCCCAGCTCTAAGCTGGGCTTGCCTGGGGCGCTGTAGTGGGCTAGTCTGGACACATCCTTCTCATGGCCGTGGCAGAATCCCAGAAGGCTTTGAGGCCCAGGCTCAGGCCTGGCACAGTGACTTCTGCCTATCCTAATGGCCAGAGCAAGTCAGAAGGTGGAACCCAGCATCAAGGGGTGAGAAAAATGCGCCCCCAGTGGGAGGGCACAGAGAGGGGCAAAGATCAGGGCCCTCAGCACAGCCTACCTCAGTGGATTAGGATGCATTAATGCACTCATTCAGATGCTTACATATTATATTTACTAATATTCCACTC